ACACTGACACCAAAAAGCTGACTTCTACCCCCTTATTTGCAGAAATGACAAAGACAGGCAAACCCGACGGATACTGGACAGGTATCATGTACCAGTATGCGCTGGGGAAATACAAATTTACCACAGGTAAACGGCCAGGGTCCAGGAAATGGAAGGCTGTCATACAGCAGATTGACGCCTGTCCGTTGACTCCGGTGTTTAACCAACAAGTCCGGTATTATGACATCTTCGGGAGAAGAATCCCCTGCAGTTGTGGATATCATAAGGTAAGTAATGAGTATACTTAGTGTTGAAATCTGTGGCATTTGACATAAGCCATTGTGTTAGCTTTTAGCTTTTTCAATAGGCAAATAAAAACATCTACACAAGAAAATGCATTAAATGTCCCATTACTTGTCTTTGAATTGAATTTAAATTATTAACAATAATGTTTTAAATATATTTTTAGACTAAGGGAAAAAAGTTAACTCCTTTTTCACAGTCAGGTGACCAGACAGGTGAGGCACACAGCAGCTCCAGTGCAGGGATGCAGCAGGCAGGCCCTGTGGCACACAGCAGCTCCAGTGCAGGGATGCAGCAGTTAGGCCCTGTGGCACACAGCAGCTCCAGTGCAGGGATGCAGCAGTTAGGCCCTGTGGCACACAGCAGCGCCAGTGCAGAGATGCAGCAGGCAGGCCCCGTGGCACATAGCAGCGTCAGTGCAGGGATGCAGCAGGCAGGCCCCGTGGCACACAGCAGTTCAAGCTGTCAGATTAAGTGCTGTCTTTGTAGCAAGAACATTAATGCTGAACAATTTTCAGAGCATTTATCTGACTTCCATGCAGAGGAATGTTGTGAGCAGTGTGGGAAGAAGGTCAGTGGTGCACTTGGGCTTCTTGAACATATTTCAGAAGGTCATGATCTTTCAGTCACCAGCAGGTATGCACCACAACAACCCCCACCACAACAACAACCTCCTCCACAACCGAGAAAACCTCCTCCACAACCGAGACAACCTCCTCCACAACCGAGACAAACTCCTCCACAACCGAGACAACCTCCTCCACAACCGAGACAAACTCCTCCACAACCGAGACAACCTCCTCCACAACCGAGACAAACTCCTCCACAACCGATACAACCTCCTCCACAACCACAACAACCACCACCTTCTACTCCTGCTACATCGCCATATATTATCCCACTGAGGCCATTGGTGGTGAATTGGCCAAGTTTTTTGCCTAAGCAGTTCATGCGGGTCATTAAGCCAGCTGACAGGGAGTGGATTTCTCAGTGCCTTTATGAACCCACAGGACAGCTGAAGCAGCAGCTTTCACAAAACTGGTTCTATCCTCCCAGTCCACCAAAGGTGACAACTGCACCACCTGATCCAATGACCTACTTCAGGCAGAGGATGTTCCTGTGGGCACCTATGCGGATGTGGGGTATTCCTCTAAAGTGTCATCAGTGTAACCGCAAGATGCACCACTCCGGAATTTACACAAAGGCAAGGGAAGTGATTGACGTTGATACCAGGTACTACTTGATTGGCGGGGACTATCCACGATGCAGTAAGTGCATGATCCCCGTCTGTCCGTGGAGTACTGAGATGTTGGGACAGCTAGATCCTGCTCACAGAAACCGATTCCCTGCTGTTCTCACAACACAGCTGGCTCTGGACAGGAGGTGTTTTACGATGTTGAAACCCCGAACTGCAGGGAACAGCTCCAGTTACCTACAGAAAGCACTGGAGGAAGTTCACAGTGAGGAATGGGCAAGGCGGACCATTGAGTACTTGTCTGACTGTGAGCTTCACAAAAGGAGAAGCGCCATGTACCAGTGTGAGGAAGCAGTCTATGAGCCACCACCACCTTTTTGCCCCCTACCTCTGGCACAGTGGTTTGAAACTGTGCATGCCAATCCCAGATCCTTGCTCACCTGGAAGAGATGAAGGGTGTCATCACCTTAACATACGGCAGGATCTTAAAGCTTGACTCCACAAAAAAGGTACAGGCATGTGGCGATATGGAGACAAAAAGATCCATATCAGCTTTCCATGTTTCTTTATGGGCAGAAACCAATGTGGAAATAGCTGAATAAAAGAGAGCTAAAACGGAAATAAAGGGAAAAAAACGGAAGTGAGAGAAGGAAACACAAGTAGGAGTGATGGGAGACCCAAGTTACCTGAAGGACTCTGCTGGAAATTCTGTGTGTACGCTGATCGGTGCGATTGCCGAAGTGACGGAGGGATAAAGCTCTGCCGAGGGTGTTGCGTTGCCTGGAGCCACATAAGCCAGTTTGATTCGCCTGCTTCAGTGACGGGGGACCCGAGTTACCGGAAGGACTCTGCTGGAAATTCTGTGTGTACGCTGCTGGGTGCGATTGCCGAAATGACGGAGAGATAAAGCTCTGCCGGGGGTGTTGCGTTGCCTGGAGCCACATAAGCCAGTTTGATTCACCTGCTTCAGGTAACATACTGTTCTTGTTGTCCATCGCTTTTAACCTCACGCCAAAGCCTTCGAACTCTTCTTAACTTCACGAAAAACCCTCATTGTCCCGGCCAGAGATTGCCGGCCATTGCACAGACTGTTTCACGTGGAAATTGTACACACGCACACACATACACGCGCCGAAAACGCACGCGCATACACCAAATACCTAACTGTATTTGTTTTGTTTTTTTTCTTCGTTTTGTTTATTGCATTTTTTTTTGTTGTTGTTGATTAAGTGGAGCATGAAAGACTGAGGAATTGTGGACACTTGTGATTCAATTACTTTGACTTCTCTTTGAGTGAAAATCTGAATGTGAACTGGAAATTGTTCCATTGGTTTTGTCATGTGAAAAAAAAAATAATACAAACTCTGAGAAAATTGAATTGTGGGCATCAGTTTATTATTATTATTATTATTATTTTTTTTTTTATGTAACAGTGGTTGGAGCTTTCCAGCATATATATTTTTTTTGTGACAAGTTGATCTTGTCTGGCGCCCGAATAATTTTAAACCAACCTAGGTTAATTGAAAACCCATACTGGTTTGGTAAAGCCACCGTTACAGGCAGGTCTTTGTTTTCATCAATGGTCATTGATTAAAATTGATAAAGGAACACCTCATTGATCCCCGGGTGCAGAAATGTGGGCGTTTTGTTGACTATATTTTGTGTGTTTTGTGTAATCTGTTTAATTTATTATTTGTTTATATTGTAATACTGATTTATTTTTATAGATCACAAAGAAACTTGCTGGTGGCATTGCGGACACAGCTACGTGGATGACAAACATCAGCAACGAATGTGGCCTGGTCCTGAACTGTGTGCTAACCACTGGTGAGGGAGCTGGTCTTGAGGACTTGTGCCAAGGCATTGTCAAGCGCTACCAGGACGCTGGGGAGCCAGAGCCAGAAGTCATTTATGTTGACAGAGATTGCTGCAGCGAGACAGGTACAGTATATTTAGTGTATAGTTTGCTTCTGTTTTACCTTTCTATGATTGTTTTTTGTATACTGTATATTCTCTACTATGTAGCAGAAGGAAGTTACAATACACATTTCATTTTACAACCCTGCTGGATTGTGATCATTAAAACTACCGTCATAATGTTTGCGTTGTAATGTAACATTTATTACAGGCACAAAAGTAAACTTTTACCAACATGCTTAACTTGATGTAGTTTTAAACGTATTCGTAAATTAAACAAGGATTCAAGTTTTTGTAATGAGGTACTTCATTCTATATGATATGTTGCATCCTTTCATGATTGTCACATCATTGCTCATGTGTACAGGTGCACCCCCAGTTCTTGTTTGGTTTAAACCGTGGAAGACCATTGTGAGACTGGATATTTTTCACTTGATGAGGCGATTTACTGCTGGTCTCACAACAGAACACCATCCTCTGTATGGCACCTTCTGCTCCAAGTTGTCAAGCTGTATCTTTGAGTGGGACCAGGATGACATCTCTCGTCTCAAGGATGCGAAGAGGTCACAGCTTAAGAGAAAGCATGGTGGTCATGCTCCCACGGAAGCGCAAGTTCTAGCCAACATCAGCTCCAGTGAACTTGCCAAGCACTGCAAAAGGAGAACTCGGGGGGTTGAGGAGACACACAGCCTGATTGAAGGATTGCTGAACTCCATGTGGACTCTGACTGACACATCAGGATTACACCTGATAAACCCTGAGAGCATGAAACATGTGTGGGAGATGCAACAGAAGCACTTGCCATGCATCCAGGATCCACCTGGTGTTGAACTATACACCAAACTTGGCTCTGGGTTACAAAAGGGAGACAAGGTCCTGGATGTATTCAGATGTGGCAGAGGGTCGTCCTCTGTAGAAAGTTTTAATCGCCACCAATGCACCTTTATCCCAGGTAAGTAGAAATTCTATAGTGATATTAATATATATATTTTTAAACGCCCTCAACATCAAACACAAAACAAAACTCTCCCGCATAACTAATCCGCTCAGCATAATATCCCCTATCTGAACTGTACACCCGGCAGTAATCAGGACAGCTTCTTTGATTAAGCAGGACCCACATCACCCCCCTCACCAGTCCCCTTCAGTCACTGCCATCAGGTCAACGTTGCAAAGACCCACTGGTTTGGAGCGACGTCTATGAAAAATAATATTTTGATCCTCTGCGATCATTACTCTGAATAAACAAAAAAAGGCACTGTACTATAATTTGTTTGTCAATGTTTAGACATTCTTTTACTTCTATTTTGGGTGTGTGTGTGTTTGTAGATGGCTTTAAATATGTATATTGTTAAAATGTTCAGTCTTTCTGTTGTCCTGTGAGAGGCAATAAAGTAAAGGGACAAATCAGGCAGGTCAATCCCCACAAAGCAGCATAAAATATCTTATCTAAGTTATAATTTTCTGGTATGTCTCAAGTGTCTAAGAGGAGATAAAAAACTAATCATTTGTGGCTTTTTTTTCCAAGGATGGAGAAGTAATGCCATGCACACACAGATGTACATGCTCGAGGGTGGATCCAGGTGGAACATGAACTGAGCCCATGAAGCTGTGGATGTGAGTGAAACGTCACACACAAGAATCTATGATGTTCGCTTGATGTCCAACGTCAATGCCCTCAGCAACAGTGTCCTTGGCCGTGCACTCATTCCAGAATTTATTCCACCTGGGAAACCCACCGGTAAGATCCTCCAGGAGAGAGCATTTTCCTTGTGACTACACTTTTATAAAGTCAACAAATAAACCACGTCTTCACTCACCCATTACAGTGGCAACCTGTCAATTCTGAATTAAACTAAGCCTTTTTCCTCATGATACTTTACATAGGTGAGCGTATTGCTGTGGAGTATTTGCTGGCTCAGTCTGACAAAGGAGATCTGCTGAATCCACAACAGCACAGTGAACTTGGCATCATTCTGCCAGACCTGCAGGTAGAAGTTCAGGAGGAGCAGTGTCTTGATCTCACAATAAGTGATCCAGCTGACGTCCTCATTGAGAGACCACCTGAAGTCACCTAGTGTGATGACCAGCTGGATATTGCACCGCCTCAGAATCCTTTACTACCTGACGACTCACCCAACACATCATCTCTGGTAATCTGACCATTTCCTGATCATCTGTCATTGAAATTTTACTGGAAAAGTTATTCATTTGTATATACTATGAATGATGTGTGCATATACAGCAATACATTTTTTACAAAGGTTATTTGTTTCTCTCTCTCTCTCTGTCACACAAATCCCCAGGACACCGGTTTTGATGTAAGCAGTGTCTCTTGCAGTCCTGTCAGTCCAGCCAGTAGTTTACCTGCAGAGGACAATTCCTCTAGTAGACCCAGCACATCAGTCCAGGTAATGAGACTTATGTCTTTCTGTATTATTCTGTGGCTCTGTTACGGTTGCGAACCCGGTGTTATGTCCTGCTTTTCACTGAAAAGCACTTGAATGTATGTACTAGGGCTGTCAGTCTTCTCAAATATTTTATGCTCAAATGTAGGCTATTTAAATTTACCATGTAACTAATCACTATGGGTCAAATTTACTAACATCCACAATAAACAATACTAATTTCCAAGTGCATTCTAAAATATTGCATGTGCAGTTTTCATACCTGTTATGAGTGATTTACTAACAATTATTGCGTAGATGACAACAGAAGAAAACACAATGGAGATGGCAGTATTTAAATGAGGGTTTTGTGTATTTTAATGGTTTATTCCATGGAGAGTTGGGAGGGAAAGCAGTGTTTTACAGTGCATGCTTTAATCTTAACACCTTTAACCTTATTATTTATTATCCTCAGGTTAGGTCGAGTAAGTCAAATCTGCCCTAAATCATAAGCATTCAAATGGTACTTACAATTTGTTCAGAAGACTTCTCTGTGGTCAGTTCTTGCTTAAAGGTATAGCAGAGGATCTTTCCGAATTTTAGAGAAGACCCGCCCTCTCCAATTTAAAAAAAAAATGCACATGCACAAACACAACACTCTTGCTCCCGAGAGGGAACGTCTATTACGCCTTGCACAATTATGTTGCAAATTCTAAACTAACTCAAAAATATTCATAAAAATAAGACAAAAGTCAAATGCCCTTCCGTGTTTTATTTACTTATTATACTGATCGATTGAGTGACCGATGACTCAAGACATGATATGTGCAACCCTGTATCACACGAAATACGTTCTGAGGAAACTATTTTGCAAATCGCAATTACGTTACATAGCAACATAGAAGCAGTGCTATTACGTTGGTCCTAATATCTCTCATTGTTAATACGTTATTTTTATACATAGTTGCATATGGAGAAGTAGCTTGATGCATTTGTGTAATAATAAACACACAAGGTTTTAAAATATTTCAGCGTGATACCATTTACCATTTTGGTCAAAAGACTACTTTAGACAAAATGAGATGTTTACCGTGTCTATGAGGTGCATGACTCGTGCCAGGGCTAGCATTGTAGCTTGCATTAACTTTTACTAGTGATTTTAAATGGATTTCTCCAAATAGCGCGACAAACTTTACCTGTCTGGTAGAATCTTCGCGACTGCGGCATCAGTGAGAAGCCCAACCTGTGCTTTTAGCGCACGCCAGCATGTGATATTAACCCAAAATCTCTCTGGTCTTGTTTCTATATTCTGTGGCCTTTCTCTTCTTATCATACACTTCGTAAACATTTTTTCTCTTTCGACCCTCAGCCATTTTCAAAGGAATGGCTGAAACCGTAACTCCGACATAATACACCTGAAAGTGAAAACTACATAGGGATGAGCACGTAGCCTACAACGGCCTTACGTAAACATATCACCAGAATGATTGACACTTAGGTGGACCAATAGTATAGACTACCCACCCGGAAAAAGAAAATCCTCCGCTATACCTTTAAGGTTTATCAACAACAACACTGGTAGACAATTCCTTTGCAATTAGTATAATAGTTATTTATTAATGTAAATATTCCAGAAATAAAAGTTAAAACTAAAACTAATAGCAAAGTTACAATATAAAGCAAAGTTTAAATCAAAGGTGCAATCAGCTGGGTTTCTGGCGTCGAGAGACACTACGCTATTAGTATCTGCAGGTCAGTCCTCTCTTCAGTCTTTTAAACGCAGATAGTCCACAGCCAAAGTCAGACTCTTTTCTGCTGTCTTCATTTAGAGAGCTGCCAAATCTTCCATGACCCTTATAAGGTGTTTCGGTCATAGCCTGCCAGCTCTCTTCTTGTCCCTTTTTCTCTTCATCCTTCTTTTTCTCGTCTGTGAAATATACCATCTACAGCATTACATTTTTCTTTAAAAGCAATTATTATCTAATACATAAATGCTCTCTAAGGCACTTAATACATTTTCATATCTTAACATGGATATATTAGTAAAGCATTTGTACTCTTTTTATATGGTTAAGTATACATGCATATTATCATAGTAATTGGTGTTGCTTTTTGTATACACTTTTCCAATACATTTTATGCAGCATTTCTACTTGGGTTACATAAAGATACTACTAAAAAAAACAAAAGTTAAACAAGACAAAGTAATTGCATAATCACCATCTTCATCAATAGCAGTCACTGCGTAAAATCCTTTGTTTGTTCCACTCAATGCGTCCCGAGTATGCGGAAAGTGTCCTGCCTAAGATTGCACTAATTACTTGGGACAGCACACTTAAAAGCCGCTTTGGGAAACCTCCCGGGGGAAACAAATACAAATACTTATGTGACTGTGTCACCTGTCTACATACTCTGTTTAAAGTAGGATGACATTTGTTAAATACAGCAACACTGCACCCAAAATAAATCCCCCTAAGAGGACTATTAAGCACAAAGTAAGTTATTTCTTCAACAGCTGTTTTTCATTTTTCAGGAAAGCCAATGTGATTCAAGAGGTTTTCCTGGCTGGGAGGCAGTTGATAACCTGGCGAAGTACCTTGTGAACCTCAACCGCACAATAACTGCTTTGTCAGCCACAGAAACAGCTGAGATTGTGCGGCTGTATTCTAGATTGCATGAAATGGACAAGACTCCCTCCAAATATTCCCTGAAAAGCAAGAAGAAGACCTTGCCAGGGCCATGGAGAGCTTCCAGGAAACGCAGTGGCTCTGCACCTGGTCAACAAGCAGCTGAAAGGTGAACTGACCAATAGTTGATGCATACATTATGTCATTCATATTTATCGTAATTATCAAATTATAACACTTACAGTTTTTTTCAGTCGCTAACAAGCATTTGTCCAAACAGTTGTCACATTTTCAAAACTCTAAACACAATTAGCACAGCATCGATCTTTTGTGGCCATACCATTCACACATTTTATGTTGTTTTCACACAATATGCAGTCAGTGAACACATTTCCACAATGCTTACATTTTCTTAACAGACAAGCTATACCTCCCAACAAAATTATGGATTGTTTTTGTAGTATTTACAAATGTTAACACACACCATCCCAAAATAACAAAGTGAGAGATCCAGTGAGAGGTGCAGTGAGAGATCCAGTGAGAGGTGCAGTGAGAGATCCAGTGAGAGGTGCAGTGAGAGATCCAGTGAGAGGTGCAGTGAAAGATGCAGTGAGAGGTGCAGTGAGAGATGCAGTGAAAGATGCAGTGAGAGGTGCAGTGAGAGATGCAGTGAGAGATGCAGTGAAAGATGCAGTGAGAGGTGCAGTGAGAGATCCAGTGAGATGCAGTGAAAGATGCAGTGAGAGGTGCAGTGAGAGATCCAGTGAGAGATGCAGTGAAAAATGCAGTGAAAGATGCAGTGAGAGGTGCAGTGAGAGATGCAGTGAGAGATGCAGTGAAAGATGCAGTGAGAGGTGCAGTGAGAGATCCAGTGAGAGATGCAGTGAAAGATGCAGTGAGAGTTGCAGTGAAAGGTGCAGTGAGAGGTGAAAAAGGTGGATTACATATTTTTCATGCAAATACTTGTAAAACTGAAACATCAAAGTCTATGTAGTTTTTGTAATGTCAACAATAGCCAGTATTTTGAAGCCTGGTGCACTTTGATTGACTGCATGTACCTTGTGAAGTGAAAACAAGTGTTATTCTTTGACAGAATGATTTCATTTTGAGTAATATTTCCAGTGTTGTGATAAAGTTAGTGTGTGCAGAGAAAGATGTGTTCTATTTTGAAATGAAGAGTTAGTGTATATTTAACAAAATGTGTTTTTGAGAAGAAAATGATCCATTTGGCCAATTGTGTTTTGTAGGTGTGAGTCTGTGTTAAGAGTTTAGAAAAGTATCTGAAGTATGGGTAAGCGCTTGTTAGCGATTGAAAAAAACTGTAAGCTGTATTACACAAGCAAAAAATTCAGACAGGTGGACTGCAATAAATAGTCAAATCATGAAGTGGAATTATACTATGCCTCATAAAATACCTCTCCAATCATAGTAGAGAACCAAAACTGCCTGTTGTATTACAGTTTTTTCAATTGCTAACACACTAAAATGACATGCACGTACAGCACAATTCTTTAAACGGACACACAGAGAGCGAAACTTCTTCTCAAGTTTCCAAAAGTCTAAACACATTTTCTGCTTTACACACTTTTCGCATTTCAAAATGCCACTTTTTAAATGCACTGAGCACAGCTCTCTGCATAAGACACAACAATCTGACATAAAGTCACATGTTTGCCATTTCAAAACACTACCATTCAAAATGACACTACATGAGCTAATTGGCCAATTACATGTGCCATCTGGCCAAACACCTCAATGGTTAATTGTTAACACTTCAATCAGGATGTAAGCACTATAAAAACTATAAAACTATAAAAAAATGATTTTTCTTGCCACTTTTTTTTTTACTGTAATATATTTTCTGGAAGTTTCTTTTTCAGTTTACGGTTTTTTGTAAGTCATTTTTTGTCAGTCCCATATAAATATTTCTGCTGTGCAAATGTTGCACTGACTTGTTGCACTGACAAAGCATACTAAAGATAGGAGTGCTTTTCATTATGCCCAACAGTGTGTAGTTGTTTAGGCAAAAATCTGGTAATATGAATGAAGTGTGTGCCATTTCATGCAAAAGTTTGATTTTGATAATGCTATGTATAGTTTCTGTTGCAGTGCTTCATTTTGCAGGATATATGAGGTATTTTGTAGTTTGGGTGTGTGGTTTTGTGAATTGTATTGTATTATGTATTATCATTGTATTATGATAAAACCAGACTAGTTTGCAAAATTGTGTGTTTGAAATAGGAAAAAAACTATTTTGATTATATATATCTAGATAGATATAGATATTTATTAATATACAAATATTGTCTTTTTCATTCAGACTATTTATGACCCATGGCCAGGCTGCCCAGAGACCTGATTTCAACAGGACTTCAGAATGTGTTTCCCTCAGGCTTTTGAAGGAGTTTGCCCAAGCTAGAAATAGGCCAAGAGACTGCAAGGGTAAAACCCTGCCCATTCCACAGTCTATTGTACAAGCTTACGGTCACATTAAGCAACTTTTTGAAGACAGCCGGGTGATACAGGAGCAGACCAACATTGTGCTTGTTACTATCAACAACACCACAGTGTCTTCTTGGTGAGATATCTTTTTTGGCTTCCTACATTCACTTTAACATCTGCATTTGAGAAGTGTAAATATATTGTTTAATTATTTTTAATTTAACCAGGAAAGATTTGATTAAGCTACAATCTTTGCAATTGTGCTTCTATGAAATGGTAAACATTTTGTTTTGTACTTTTTCCAGGTTGCATGACAGGCAGAAAAGAACTAACCGGGACTCGTTGCTGCAAGGCGCACAGCTACCCCAGAAGGTCTCTGTGGCTAAGGATCCGCTGCCACAAGCAAGAGTAATTCCTTCTACACCCGTGGAACATGGACATGCAAAAATACAGTTTCAGGAGCCAGAAAATCGTGAAGATGAGGCAGTGATACGCCCACGCCACAGCTTCAGAAGTGGATCGGCACTGGCACAGCACTATCCTCTTGGGTCGTATGAATGGCCTGCCTCTTCTGCCTTGTTGTCCTCACATCAGCAGGAACACACTTCCCCAGCCCCATTACCTGCCTGTTCCTCTTACCAGCAGGGTCATCCACCACCAGCCCAACCTCCTGTCTGGCCCACTTACCAGCAGGATCATCCGCCACCAGCCCAACCTCCTGTCTGGCCCACTTACCAGCAGGGTCATCCACCACCAGTCCCATCTCCTGGCTGGTATCAGCAGGGTCATCCGCCACCAGCCCAACCTCCTGTCTGGCCCACTTACCAGCAGGGTCATCCACCACCAGTCCCATCTCCTGGCTGGTATCAGCAGGGTCATCCGCCACCAGCCCAACCTCCTGTCTGGCCCACTTACCAGCAGGGTCATCCACCACCAGTCCCATCTCCTGGCTGGTATCAGCAGGGTCATCCGCCACCAGCCCAACCTCCTGTCTGGCCCACTTACCAGCAGGGTCATCTGCCACCAGTCCCATCTCCTGGCTGGTATCAGCAGGGTCATCTGCCACCTGCCACTTCTCCTCCCTTTTCCTCACAATCACCTCTCAGCAGTACACCATCAGATCAGTCTTTAGTCATTTTCAATCGACACCGACAGTGGAGACGGCAAAAGGCAGCACTTGAAGACGAGGAGCGTTTGGCAAGAGGGGAGCCACCAAAGAAGCGTCAAACAAAGGAACATTACCATTATCAGTGTAAACTATGTGGCCAATCAAAAAGTAAACTCACTGGCCATTCCCAGGTTAGAGGAAAGTGGTACTGTCCAGCATCTGGACAGACCATTGCAGAGTGGAAAGACTCTCTTTAGGCTTTTTGTCGTGATTGAGTACACGTTTAAATCAGCTCTTTAATTTTTATGTCAGTGCAAGGAAACCTCTAAAAAAATAAGTGCATGTGTGAATGTATTATATATAACATTTTTTTCTACATTTTTTATATAGCTGTATTTGTAAAAGTATATTATTATTATATCTAGTCATTTAATTGTGTGTATATATATGTATATGTATAAAAGGCTACTTAGTTTTGTTATTATTATTATAACTTACTAACTTACTATTCTGTAATTGTTTTATAATATACTATATAATTTTTGTATTACTATTCATAATTTATCAAACTATTTGTAATAGTAGGTGTTTATTATTATTTGTATTACACGTAGCTATTTAAATTTGAATTCATTATATAGATTTTAGCTTTCATTTGTGCTTTTAGCTGTTTTATTTGTGAGTCTTTATGATTATTTTCAGGAAATGCACATTCTAGTTGTTGTTATTATTATTATTATCATTATTATTATATATATATTGTTATGATTATGAAACCAAATTTGTGGTAATAATTGCATTTCATTATATATTAAACTTTATTTTTATAGTTAATTGATATATATATATATAATATTATATTTCAGTGTGTATTTGTATATATATATTCCTTATTTCTATTGTAAATGTTGAACTTTAAGAATATTTGTGGTAGTAAGTGTATAATAAATAATTGGATTTACATATATCTGTACTTGTATATTTCGTTTTTATTATTACATACATTTCAGATTTTGGAATAAACTATTTGTGGAAAATACGTGTTGTACATTTTATTCTTTCAAATTGTTTTGTGATAAAAATACAATTTGATACATTTTTTTAGTAAAATAGGTCTAAAATTAGTTTAAATATTGACTTTTCAGTCATTTAATTATTTTTACATTTACATATATTCATTTTGCAGATGCTTTTATCCAAATCGACGTACATTGTATTTCAAGAAACACATTTGACATTTTTGTCAGTTCTTGCTTTCGCTGGGAATCGAACCCACAATTCTTCCGTTTTCTTCCCCCTTCTTTCGCGATTTTTTTCTTGCGTTAAGTCTTGAACACCAACAACCACATCACCGGACACCAAATCTGAATCAAGATGCACGTGATGCAAAGGAACATCGAGAAAATCCATCTCGATCCCTTGAACCAGGACACTACTACCTGTTGCAGTCTTCTCAGATAACGGCAACAAACCACGGAGGAGGAGCGACTGCGCAGCGCCCGTATCCCGCAAGATGCGTACAGCGACAGCTCCCTAGCCAGGCACAGATACGGTTCCATTCGTCAGAAAGGGCTCGTACATGGACTGGGCTTTCTCTGATTTTAACTCATTTAACTCATGGAGGACAGGTGACACCTTCGGAGAAGAGTTAACAAGACCCATTGGCTTCGTGGCTTGTTTTTTCTTTAATACTAAACAGTCTGCGATGATATGCCCAGGTTTTTTACAATAAAAACAGTGTCTATCCTCTTGTTTTATTGCACTCTTTTTCATGTCTATTTCAGAGGAGGTCACAGGGGAATTAACTTTTAAGCGAAAACGTTCTCTGCCAACGTTATGCGTCAAAACGTATTCATCAGCAAGGATAGCAGCTTCAGATATCGACTCCGCCTTCTGCTCAGTTAGATAAGTGGCGACTGCGGTTGGCAGGCAGTTCTTAAATTCTTCCAAAAGAATTAATTCCCGTAACTTCTCCCGACTATCAACCTGTTGCGATGAGCACCAACGATCAAAAAGGGCCTCTTTATCTCGACCAAATTCAACAAAAGTTTGACGCTCAGTTTTTTTTAAGTTCCTGAACTTCTGTCGGTATGCTTCAGGGATCAGCTGAAAGCACCTCAGAACTGACGCTTTCACTACATCGTAGTCACTGCTTTGTTCTACTGTTAACGACGAGTATGCTTCCTGCGCCTTTCCCACGAAAACGCATTGCAGGAGGAATGCCCACGCAGTTCTCGGCCAGTTTAAGTTGGTCGCGACTCGCTCAAAGTGCGGAAAATATTTTTCCACATCTCTTTCCACAAAAGGTGGCACAAGACGGATGTGGCGAGCAATATCAAATGAATTAGGGTCAGATGGAGCGACACCTTCCCTCTGGGCCTCAAGTTCTAACTTCCTCAACGCAAATCGATTTTCAAGTTCATGCTCACGGACTTGTGCTTGCATGCGCTCACGCTCATACTCAATTTCTTTCTCCTTAATATCCAACTCCCTCAAACGAAGCTGCAGCTGTAACGTTTCCACCACCACGGGAGATGGTTTCTATGTAGGAAAAATGCCCTTACTTTGCAAAGCAGTTTGTAAAGCGGTTCTAACGGTCTCTTTGCTACGTTTCTCAGCAGAAGTAAGCTCAACCTCATAAGTTGCAGCCAAATTTAGCAACTGCTCTTTAGAAAATTTTAGAAGTAACTCCGTAGAGGGTTCCTTAACAAATGCTTCCTCTGTTGCCATTCTAAACGCAACAAAAAGGCACTTAAATCAAAACAAAATGTAGCAATAAATAAATAAATAACTCACCAAAGCAGGTTAAACTGCGACTAAACTACAGTGTAGTAGTTGTATGAAGTGGTCAAACAAAAAAGCACAATACAGGCTACAAACGACCACAAATTGTAATGTCCACCCCTAAATTTACTACTCAATACGCTAGTACAACCTTAATAGGCTACACCAGCGCTCACTCAAATAGGCGATATGCCAATAGATAACACAAGCTATACAACTTAACTAAAGAGTATTCTGATAAGCAAAAATGTTGTCCAG